GAGTCACTCAAGTACACGCCATACGTTGTGCAGCCCTAGACCTGCGAACACTGGGCTCCGAAATGGTGCAAGGCGTAAACTTGAGTGACGCGACTGGATTTCATTGAAAAGCACTGTAGTTCAAAAGAATATGGATTTAGAACACAGAATCCTGTAGTCATGCAAGCAGAAGACCACACACACACACACACACACACACACACACACACACACACACACACACACACACACACACACACACACACACACACACACACACACACACACACACACACACACACACACACACACACACACACACACACACATACACACACACACACACACACACACACACACACACCATTTCTAGTAAATATATTAAAAGAATGTTACTTACAAGCGGATGGATGCAACGACCCAGGTAACCCCCCTCCCCTCCCACTGATTGTGAGACTGACCACCGCGTCATAGCCGCTAGGCGTGGCTTACTTCGATCACGCTGGTCTGACGTGTGTGTGTGTGTGTGTGTGTGTGTGTGTGTGTGTGTGTGTGTGTGTATGTGTATGTGTATGTGTGTGTATGTGTATGTATGTGTATGTATGTATGTGTGTGTGTGTATGTGTGTGTGTGTGTGTGTGTGTGTGTGTGTGTGTGTGTGTGTGTATGTGCACGTTGTTTTACAGTTACGTGTTATTCTGGATACTGGTAGCAGCAACTTTGCAGTGGCCGGCAAAGCTCATAAGTACCTCAGCACCTTCTTCAACGCATCACTGTAAGCAACAGCCACTAGGCATAGAAGAGCCTCCGCTAGCCTCCCCTTAGCAGATACCTTGTGCAGTGCATGCACGACACACACACACACACACACACACACACACACACACACACACACACACACACACACACCATTTGACGCCCATCGCCGGAGGCGATGATAGCGCTGCTACAGTAGAAGCAAGAGTACATAACCCCCAAGAGTGTGCAACTGCCTGCACAACCTCTATGCTGTGCTGCGACGGCAGAACTTCACATCACGTGACATGGTTCAAAAGGTTATGCTGGCAAACAGTGCAAAGTGATCACAAGAGAGTTGTACCCAAAGCTGGGTTGCGTACAACCCTGTATCTATCATGCACAGAGTGCAAATAATGTGTACGGGTTCATCACGTGATGTGAAGTTCTGCCGTCGCAGACCCCATAGCTGGAGTTGCACACTCTTGGGGGTTATGTACTCTTGGTAGAAGCCATAGCAGCTTGTGCTGGGATTGCACCATTCAGCAGCTTGCAAGGCACACACACACACACACACACACACACACACACACACACACACACACACACACACACACACCACACACACACACACACACTCACACACACACACACACACACACACACACACACACACACACACACACACACACACAAGAGCTAACATGCCATTACTAGACAGTCCTGACAAGAAGCCTTTCAGCCATGTAGTAATGATGTAGCACGTGCAGCACACAGCAGAGTTGCAGTTGACTTGCGAAAGTCTGGCGTGGCATGTGCAGAATGTAGGCTACATCACTGCGCCTTGCAAGTTGCAACCAAGGACACCGTCACATTCAAGACACATTGGTTAAGTGTCAACCGCTCCCAATTCGGTTTCGTTTGAATGTGCCGCTGTATTTGAACTTTTTTCATGACCAATTTCGGTCAATAACATTCACACATGACGCCAGTTTACGGGCGTGAAATCTGTGTTTATATAGCACATCGTAACTCTGCCGTGTGACAATGCGAGCATTTTGACATCCGTATTGTTTTGTGTAAAAAGTACTAAAAACTGTTGTGGGATTGTCCGGATCATAAGAAGTTATCCCTGGCAACTTGGGGTTCGAATTATCGGGATTCAACCTTAGCACATTCTGTAACACACTGCCATGATTAGTTTATTTGGCCCCCGGAATGTCGGTATTCGAGAGTTGTCACAGCATGCGCCAGTGTGTTCCGATAGTGAGACAATAATGAGATTTGAATATCATCATCTAGTGACATAGCCAGCACCAATCCAACCAGTTGAACGCCGTTTTGAGTTTTTTAAACTAACATCATTTGCTTTGGAACCCAAGGAGCGCAAGCATGTGAATTTACCTGATTGCATGAGTTTTGTCATTTAGAATGTTTAGCTGTCAAATTAAATCGTTAAATTTTAGTTGTGTACGGCATTGTGTGTGTGTGTGTGTGTGTGTGTGTGTGTGTGTGTGTGTGTGTGTGTGTGTGTGTGTGCGCGTGTGTACGCGTGTGTATCATTGTATGTATGTACTTCAGATGTACTCAATCTGCGGACAGAACTGTTTCGTCCTATGTGGACTCATCAGTGCAGCATAGAGAAAATGAGGCCGAACCTGATAGCAATGAAAAATAAATTTCCATAGCCAAATTTAAACCAGGCCCGAACATACCTTGCCAGAGTGCTCAAACTGACAAGTCAATGAGCTCTGCATAACGCAAACAGCAAAGGCACTACCCCGGACTACCCCGGACTACCCCACATGACTACCCCACATGACAGTGCTCCAGCTACTACTGTATAAGTACAAATTTTCGTTCACAAAATCTTTCGTTAGATCACTCCACCAGCAGGCTTGTTACGTACTAAATTTCGTTTTTGGTCAAGGTCTGTCACCCCGAACGTTCAGAAAAAAACTTTAGTTTGGTGCAAACTTTAGTTATTTCGTGCCCCCTAACGAATATAGTGAAAGTTAATTCCAAACGAAAATTTGTGCTTATACAGTAACAAGAGCAGGAGCGAAGTACTCAATCTGCGGACAGAACTTCAGAAGTATGTCTCTTTGTATGTATGTGTGTGTGTGCGCGTGCGTGCGTGTGGTGTGCTGCCTATAGATCAACAAGTTACAATGGTGCGGGTAGCCGAGTTAGTGTGACATACACGGAAGGTTACTGGGAAGGTGACCTAGCCCACGATAGGCTGTCGATTAGCCAGTTCACACCGCTCATCGTACAGTTAGAAGCAATCGATGCCAGCCAAGACTTCTTTGTGCAGGGTGCCGACTGGCAGGGAATCCTGGGACTTGCATATGCTAGCCTTGCAAAGGTCAGTCAAGTACCTTCTATACCAGGTTTCTAGCCAAAGGAGAGGGGGGGGGGGGGGCAGCGCCCTCGTACCCTGATTGAACGGATCCCCCCCCCCCCTCCTCATTTGTCGTTTGGTGTGTGTGTGTGTGTGTGTGTGTGTGTTTTTCACGCCATTCAACGAAAATGTGTATAATAATCACTACTAAATGGTTCATAAAGGCACGTTTTTCTGGGGTGAAGCCGGGGGGTTCGTCCCGTACATTACATTTTGTATGGCAAGACAATTTTGCAAAATGGAAAAAATGAGTTATGCGGGAAATGTTTTCCATGCCTGTCCCCTACTATTTTGACGTGGCTATAACCCTGTATACCATACTCACGGTATCTGTTTAGACATTATCATGCAGTGTGTGATGAGTGTTTCACACGAAACTCCGAGTAACGGCAGAGAAAGATGTGTTTGCTTCATTGCTGTGATCATTGTAGTGGATTTGGATGGAGAGCCAAGGATAAATTTATAGAAAAGAAAAAGGACTTTGGAGTGGCATTCGCCCACGTCGTCATTCCAGCGGAACACAAGGAAGCAGCCCTCGGTCCAGATTTCTGGCCTCCAGAGGTCACTGCAAGAGAATGGCGCTTTAAGCAGGACAGGATCACCTCTGACCACGCTTCAAATCCGTAAACATGTCTACTCTAAATCCACTCGCACCACCCTTCACCCCCAGATCACATCCTTCATCCTTCTCAGTGCTCTCACTTAACTGCCGCTCCATAGTAAATAAGTTAGCTGAGCTTAGTCAAGTCTGTGAGCAGTATTCTCCAGACATAATCTGCCTATGTGAAACGTGGCTGACAGCTGCCATAGACGTCTCAATTCCAGGCTACACGTCATACCGCCTGGACCGCCCACCCACGACCAGCTCTGATAACCTGCCAGCAAGAGGCTATGGCGGTGTTGCTACTCTTGTAGCTGACAGATCGTTCATGTCCATCAAGCGCCGCTTCGACCTTGAGCGCTGTGGACTGGAGGCGGTTTGGCTCGAATTGCGGCCAGTGATCCTTCCCTCACTCCCCCTCATCATCTGCTCTGTTTACAGACCCCCTGGAGACAGCATCTCCCAAGTTCAGGCATTTAGTGACCTCCTAGAGGACTGTCTGTCCACTATTAGCCTTCCCAATTCGGCGATTGTACTTGCAGGAGACTTGAATGCTCGCCACTCTGACTGGTCTCCTAGTGACACCACGAATCGTGCTGGAAGGGAGTTCCGTAACCTCTTCTCTTGTTTTGGCCTTGAGCAAATGGTGACATTCCCCACACACTTTACCCCCCACGGCTCAACATCGTGTATTGACGTTGTACTCACGGATCATCCTCACCTACTACTCTCTGTTACATCTGTTGCTCCTCTTGGTGCATCTGACCACGCACAGATCCTCAGTCATTTCCTACTGCCTACTGATGCTGTTTACCGTGAGGAACCTGCTGCAAGCGGACATCCCGCTGCTGCACCCCAAAGCCACTTCAGCAATGTTCCTGCAAAGCCGGAATATGACTTTAAATCCGTGCCATCTTCCGTCTGGGATAGTGTGAATGCAGAGCTCTCTGATATTGACTGGAGCTGGCACCTGCGTGCCAGCAACGTCGATGATGCGCTTTCACACTTTTCTTCCATTCTCAACAGTGCCCTTGAGAAGCACCTCTGGCCATTCGGAAAGCAGCCGTATTCTCACCGCTGCCCACGGCCCAGTCAGCCACCCTGGGTTGATGCCCATCTCCGCACAGCAATCAAGTGGAAATATGATCTCTATAGCATTTTTAGGAAGTACCCAACACAACAAAACAAACAAGCATACCAACAGCAGCGAAATATAGTGAAAACCCTGACGCGGACAAAGTACAGAGCTTATATCCGCTCAATGAAAACTACTTTGCAGGG